GTCATTTTACTCAGCAGATGTAACTGAACACAAAATAAAACTTTGTACAGGAATAGCACGCACCAACTTTACAAAATATACACGAGAATTTCTCTGTTATAAGTTTGTGTGCCAAAAACCAAAAAGAACACAATTTTACTCCAATATTTAGCAGAGGTTGGCAGTGAAATGGCTACGTAGAAAGTGTCAAAACAACCTTAGGTAAATAGCCCGTGATGTCTACTTTATATAAATATATACTTTTGTGTGGCAATTTTGTTTTCTTTTATGGCTATTACGCTTACAAGACAAACATACCAAATTCTAAAGTCACTCCACATTAAAAGTTTATTTTACTCCTTGTGCTTTGTGACCTGTAACTACCAAAAAAAACTTAAAATCCCAGACACATTATATATTCTGTAAATCAGAACAAATAAATAAATTTATTTTTAATTACTTTCCTTAACCTGCACTAATTATGCACACATTATTATTGCAAAAACTGTAAAAACAATATTTTTCATTTTTTTTGCATTTTTCTGTATTTTTTTTATAATAAGTAAGCATTTATATATATATATATATATATATGTTATATCAAATTAAAGCCCTTTCTGTCCTTTAAAAACAGTATATAATATGTGTCGGTGCAATAAATGAGAGAGATGCAAATTGCAGTTGAACGCAAACAGCAAGAAAATGCAAAAATTGCTTGTGTCATTAAGCGTAAGTCAAGCTTCTGAAGCTGTGTCCTTAAGGGGTTAATAACAGCATTAGCAATAAGTCCAAAAGGGGCTTTGTCTAGCAAATCTGACATATCTTTAAATATGAATGGGTAATCTTTGATGTGGGATAGGACTGCTGGCTTTGTATATGCCTTTTAGTATAGTCTTAACTCGATACAAGGAAAGAAAACTGAGGTTGTCTAGGAATAATAAATACACGTAATATTGAATGCTGGTTAAGTATAGCTTGATAGTATTGATAGTATTGTGGGATAGCTTTAACTTGAGGCAAAAAGTAGCGAACGCTACCAAAGATGTAATGTCAAACATCTTATCCAGTGCATGTTCTAACAGGAATTTTTTTGTATAATGAAAAAGCCTTACTGTAGGATCGGCAAGTATTTGTCGAAAGGGCCAAGCTAGTTAAGACTAGACGATGATCCATTAACTCCTTCAATACATGACTAGCTCCTGGAACAGGGGAGAGGCAGTTCTTCTGAATGCCTGAAATTTAAAGCGGGACAATTGGTCAGCTGCCATATTGAAAATACCCGGAACATGACAAAAATTATATCACAGGAAGCTAACCAAGTCAGTCTCCTTATGAACCTCATAATAGTCAGGGAGGATGAGCGCCCTTTGTTTATGATATGGCATGTAGCTAGTTTGTCAGAAAAACATCGTACTGAACAACCAGCCCATGATTGTCCCCTTGCTACAGCTGCTGCAACGATGGGATATACCTTGAATAAGGCTAAGTTGCGGGAGAACCCTTCAATATCCTGCAACTCTGCTGGCCAACTACCCTTGAGCCATCTGTCACCAAATATGGCCGCAAAACCTGTGGTAGCTGCTGCATCTGTCCAGATGACAGAGGAATGTATCAACAACTGTGGGAGAAACATGCTCCTTCCATTCCAGTGTAACAGGAATTTTTGCCACATGAATAGATCAGCAGTAGCCTGAGGATAAAGGGGGATACCACTATGATTGTTGGCAAATGCAGGAAGTAGGCTAAGGAGTCTAGCGATAAAGGCTCTCCCTTGCGGGATAATCCTTATGGCAGAATTAAGGGAATCTAACAGAGATTGTTACCCAAGTACCCTCTTGCATGTATTGATTGATGATCTGTAGGATGTTATCAATCTTCCATAACGGGAGACTGGCTTCCATGGCCACAGAATCAAGGTGTATACCTAGAAAACTAATTAAAGTGTATGAAATAACTGAATGGCTTTGGTCAAATCTTTTGGGGGAGAGGAATTGATCTTGATAAACAGAAAATCATCCAGATAGTGAATAACTGAATAGCACCTGCATGAGTTCAACAGAAGCGAACACAAAGTCTCAGCGAAAGTGTTGAAAAGTTTTGGGCTGCTCTTCGAACTGAAGGTGAGCCTTGTAAAGAAATAGTACAGACCTTTCTATTTAATACCGTGCAGATGCCATAGTGATGGTTGAATTGGTAGTAATTTGAAGGCGTTAGCAATATCTGTTTTACTGAGCCAGGCTCCCACCCCTGCTGTAATAATGGCGTTAATCGCCTTATCTAATGTGGCATACTGAAGTGAAAACTCCTCCGAGGAGTTAAGGCTAGGGATCCTTGAAGAGTGAGGTGCAGGGAGATCAATGATCAATCTCTGTTTGGCTGTGGACTTCCCAGTAACCAAACCTACTAGGTTAGTCCTCCAGTTGGAGAACAGAGGCTCCTTAAATGTTGCAACAGGGTATCAACCGTATCAGTATCAGCAAAAGCTGATTGGAGGTAATTGCATTCCACAATGCCTGCTGGAATGTGAATAAGACCGGTATGGAAACCATGTGTAAAACCCTTAATCAAGAAATTGACCAAGTGTGTGGCAGGGTGAGAAGCTAATGAGCCCACCAAAGAGTCAACATTCACGGAGGTCAGATAGGGTTTAGAATGCATTTTATCTGGGCACAAAAACTTTGCATGTGCCCTAAAGCAGTGTGAGCATACATGCAACAAGCGGCAGGCATTGTAACCGCAGGTACCCTCATTGAAATTATTACACATCTGTGATTTCCCTAAATACACTGGCGCGACCCAGTTAATCTTTAGCTGATTTGTCGGATCTGGTTCTGGCTCCTGGGAAAGCCGTAGAAGGAGAGGTATCGGGTACTACCGGACAGTAATCCGCGGCATGTGAAGTGGATGCACAGATTGCACAAGCTGGTGTCCTCAGACCAGTGAAGTGCCTGCAAAACAGCTCAGTATCCATCTGGCTCCAATCAGTTTAGATGTTAAACTGAGCCAGAATGGCAGACACCTTCGCTGAAAAAAAAACGGTGGTAATCATAGAATGATGTACCAACGTATTTGTTACCTAAGTCCACCAGCTTATGCAAGTAGAGGTCCAGCTCTTCTCTCCTATGAGAGTTTACAGAATATATGACATCCCTATAAATCCCGAAGGCAATAACATAATCCGGAACTGACAACTTCTTACTCAGTCTAGGGTCCCTAGCCTTCAACACAACGGATATATCCACTATATCACGAGAGGCAATCAGTAGTGAGCCTTCCAGGATATCTTTTTTAAGATTCGTCGGTACCATATGGGCAGGGTTGATGACATAGGTTTCTGATCCTGAGGATATGTTTTTACCAGCTTGCAACTGTGGAGGACCAGGAAGTTCGGCAGCTAAGGACCCAGATGATGCTAGGGGAAGGCTACGCGCCTCAATTCTATGCAACCCATGGATGCTATGAGTGAGGCCATCATGGCGTGGAGATCCGAGTTGCCTGAACCACTCATTCCTTCTCCTGCCCCTGCATTGTCATGCATTGTATACATGAGCCTAAGTAGTTCTGCTTTCCT